GGGGTCCCGCTGGGGTGCCTGGCCAGCCTGGGTGAGGGGCTGAGGGACGTTTTCAGGCAGGCCACACCCCCTTCAGGGAGAGGGGGTCTGCTGGGGTGCCTGGCCAGCCTGGGTGAGGGGCTGATGGCTATTTGCAGGCTGGCCAAGCCCCCCAGTGGGGACCCTCACCCCATGAGGGTGTGGCCATCCTGGGTGAGGGGCTAATGGCTATTTGCAGGCTGGCCACAGCCCCCAGATACTCAAGCTCGCAGTGGAGGCTGGCTGGAAGCAGGTATCTGAGATTTATTTAGCTTCTATAATTGAAACTTTGTTGCCTTGAGTGGAGGCCACAGCCAGCCAGGGCAAGTGGGAAGCTTGGCTTCCTCTATCGCCGGGGCAACCAAGCCTCCTGCTTGCTCCAGCTCCGTGGCTGTCAGCCACCATCTTGGTTGGGTTAATTTGCATATTGTCACTCTGATTGGCTGGTGGGCGTGGCTTGGGGCATAGCGGAGGTGCAGTCAATTTGCATGTTTCTCTTTTATTAGATTAGATATTGATGTTTGGTAGAATAAGGAATATTAGCAGGATAATTCTAAAGATAAAGAAGCTACTTTATAAGACAATATAGTGTCTCAAATAAGGGTTCTTTGATATGTGTCTCAAGTTACACTTGAAATGCATGTCACCAATGCTTAAGGTCAGTTGGGTTTTGGTCTTGGTGTAATCCAAAGCCACCGGGTGTGAGTGGAATTCTTTTCCTTACAATTACTTTATTAGTAGCAATACATCTAAATTCACTATCAAGTACATTTCACTTGATTGTGGTAGTCCTCATTTATCTGTGCTTTTCAAGGAAATGTTTATGTAAGTAAATGTTGAACACATCAAAAATTAGTATTTATTTATTTTTAAAATGTAGGTGGCTACTTTTTAATTTAATATTTAGCCACCTAACAGAAGCAGTGAGAGTGAGGTTTCCATTTCATATCTTCTAGTTTGCTTGTCATTTTTCAATGTTATCAGATTCTTTGCACCAGTGTGACTTCCATATCTAATCTGTTTTATGCTTACACAGACTTCTAAATCAATGTGCCTCAGGGTGGTTCTGACCTTTCCAAAAAGTATAAACCACCATAAATGTCAACAGTTACGGTGGGCTTTCTGCAAAGGCTCCATATTTATTAACCTCAGCTCTTTTGTTTGCTTGTTATTGGTGTAATTAGCTAGTTTATTGATATTGATAATAGGAAGAGAGCAAAGAGGAGGCCAGACATTATAAGCATGGTCATCTGGGCAGCTTCATCAAGAAACTGCAATATCACACTCCCCATGGGAACCACCGGTCCATTCCCTGAAGATCACTGGGGGAAAAAATCATATAAAAAGGTAGATGGATGCATGCGCAGTGAAGTCGGGGTGACGTAGGAAAGGTGCTTGTCTGTCAGTCTAGCCTGGGGAACAATGGATTGGCTAGGATGTGGCCCCTATCAAAAGCATGCAAAATCTTGGAAAGTTAAAATCTCCAGACAAAATCTCTTGTTCATGCTGGCTCCCTCTTGCTCTGTGAACAGCACTGTTCTCTCTCCATAGCCATGTGACCTTAAGCAATGCATGGCCATGGCTGTGCGAGCCTCACATGCAATGGACTGCAGCTGGGAACACAAGTTAAGCTAGCCAGAGGCTAGACTGGAATGGACTTTAATATGGAGCAGAAATCCTGGGCAGTGGCCTTTATTCTGGCCCTGCTGAAGACACAGTTGAACTCTTTCAATGGTGGGATGGACAGATAAGACCTTAGAGGGGAACACTCTTAATTTTACATAATCATTAAGGCTTTCTACTAACCCTCATCATCCCATGGGGCCTCAGGAAATTATTTTCCTCATGCACCCCAAGAACTTCACTTTCACTAATAACACTTCTGGGTTTTACATCTCTGTTCTGGCTGATCTTTTTTCTATATAATTTCACATTTTAGACAGTATCCACTTTCTGAATCACCCTTGGATATAAAATGCTTTATCTGTAAGTTACACAATTCTTCTAACTTCTTAAAAATCATTATGAAGTGTCACAAGCTTAAGACCACAAGATGCAGTTATATATGACACCAGAGGCCTGGTGCATGAAATTAGTGCATGGGGGTGAGGGGGTCCCTCAGACCAGCCTGCACCCTCTCCAATCCAGGACCCCACAAGGATTGGGCCTAAATCGGCAGTTGGACATCCCTCTCACAATCCGGGACTGCTAGCTCCTAACCACTCACCTGCCTGCTGGCCTGATTGCCCCCAACGGCCTCTGCCTGCTGGCTTGATCACCCCCTAACTGCTCCCCTGCCGGCTTGATCACTCCCTAACTGCTCCTCTGCTGGCCTGATCATCCCTAACTGCCCTCCCCTGCTGGCCTGATCGCCCCTGCCTGCCCTTCCCTGCCAGCCTGATCACCCCTAACCACCTCTGCCTCAGCCCCCGCTACTGTGGCTTTGTCCGGAAGGACGTCCAGAAGATGACCAGTCTAATTAGCATATTACTCCTTTATTAGTATAGATGATATGAGCTCCAGTGAGGCAGATTTGAATGTGTAAAGCATACATCTTAAATTTCTACCCAACAAACATCTAAATTCAATTGCAGACTAACAATTAAATGATCGTGCCCAATGTTTCCAGGTTTCTTAGGAGTTTGTACTTTTGTTTTTATAATATACCTTTAGTTACTCTAATTTAAATTTTGTGTCAGTTTCAAATAGCATTCTCTCTCTAAAGGTACAAAGCTTCCATCTTAAGCAACATTACATACTTGATTTCATTTATTGGAATGTTTATTGGGATGATCCATGGGGATGGATGACAATAATTTATATTCTGAAAATCGAACATTTTATTTGACTTCTTAATTTTTTCACCTTTTTTGACTTATCCTTCAAAAGAAACATTTTAGTGAATATAGTTACTTGATAATCTAATTGGACTTGAGTGATTACAAATTAGTTTATGAAACCTAAAATGCAGTGAAAATACTTTTGGAAAAGCAAAAAATAGTATGAAGATAGTTTAGTCAAAACACTAATTGAGAAAAGTTGATCAAGGATTATTAATGGATTATATGTATCAAAAATGTTACTCTTTTAATGATGGGAGTCTTTTGTTCATTTTTTAGATTTTTGCTATAGCATTAATGATTCCAATTCAATTTTAGCTTCAGGTACTGGGGATGGTTTATATTTTAGTACTCTTGCATTAACTGTAGTATATTCTGCTTTATGGACAGTGTGATTTTCCTTATTTCTCTTCTCAGGAAATTGTGGCAGCTGAGAAGAAGAAACAGAGTGTTGCAGAGCAAGTGATGCTGGACAACCTATGCCGGTGAGAGTTAGTCACTGGGACAGACATCCATTCAGAAAGTGTTCATAGCAGCACAACTTACAATAGCTAAGACCTGGGAACAGCCCAAGTGCTCATCCGTAGATGAGTGGATAAAAAAAGCTGTGGTACATTTACACCTCGGAATACTATGCAGCAGTATAAAAGAAAGATCTCTTACCCTTTGCAACAGCATGGAGGGACCTGAAGAGTATTATGCTAAGCAAAATAAGCCAGGCAGAGAAAGACGAGTATCCCATGATCTCACTCATATATGGAATCTAATGAACAAAATAAACTGATGAACAAAATAGATTCAGAGACATAGAAACATGGAACAGTCTGATGAATCACAGAGGAAAGGCAGGGGTGGGTGGGAAGAGGTTAAATGTAACTTATATGCATATATGCATAACCCATGGACACTAGCGTGGGAGCATGGGGCAGCTAGAAGAAGCCAATGGTGGGGGGACATCTAAAATACTTTCAATAATAAAGATAAATTTAAAAAAATACATTTCTTTTTTATGCCTGATGACCCATATCCTTGGCCAATCAATAAGTTGTTAACTCAGACATTCCCAAATTTTCTCTGTTCAATGCCCTCATAGTGTTTTAGTACTTTTTTCAGAGCACTCCTAGGCTAATAGAAATACCCATTATTTCTATTTATTAAATTTTTTAGTTTAAACAACTGAATGAGCATGCACTTCTAACTATTTAATGGCTTTGAAAAACAACAGCACATGAATTAAAAGAAGACATATTTTTCTCATTCTTAAGTAGCCATAATTACTTGCTAATGGGATGTATGTACCTTTTGGGGCCACTGCACAGTCTCTCAAACCTGGGACCTGTTTATGATGCTGCCACAGTCACGTTCTATTTCATATGGCACTTGCTGTTTACCACAGCACTGTAGAAAGCCCTGCTTTGCAAAGATGAGACTTCATTGAGGGAGTGTGTCTTATTGAAACTGTGAGTTACTTTGAGCTAGTAGTTCATGTGGTGTCCAATCAATACAAAATACTGTGTTTCCCTCAAAAACTAAAAATATCCTGCAGTGTCCCTGGGAGTTCCCTGGGGGCACCTCAGAGTGACTTGGTGTGGAGTTTGGGAACAGTGGGACTAACTATAGAATTGTAGAATGTAATCTAAGTTTCACAACCCTTAGAAAACTATATAAAGATTTAGCACCTGCTGTGCTCAATTGCATACGAATGTGTAAATACTGCGAGATTTCAAAAGAAACCGGAATAGTCTAGGTCTAGGACATCTTCGAGAAGAAGTAAGACAAGTTTAGCTTTAGAAAAAAGTCTTTGATTAGGTGGTGGAGAGAAAGAATAATATTCCACATGCATGTTTTTCAGTAAATTGTCTGAAATAAATAATTATACTTACAGTCTTCAATGTATCTCCTTCCATTATCTCATGAACTCACTTTAGTGATGTTTCCACCCCCACCATCCCACCACAAGGCGATTATTCATTTAACATCTGAAAAATACAGAATTCTGATAGCAGTGTAAATTTGCATTCATACATGGGCTTTTTTGACTGCCTACCAATATGTGAATGCTGGCACAATGGATTATCCCACTTCAATGTCGGACTTTGTGTTTTGTGGCGTAGGGCTGTAATCAGTGATCCAGAGCAAAACTTAACCACTGAGAAACCAGAAGGTGCTTGTGTCCTTCCAGATTCAAACATAACACCTCTTCGATTTAGGAAAAGAACACTACATGAAACAAAGTAAGAAGACTTACCAATGTAAATTGAGCCTGTGGTATTTATACATGTGTTTGTTTAAAATGTTATTTTGTGTCCACCTGAAGAGTTTTTTGCTTTTTGCAATTTAAAAGGAACTGGATTTTTGGAGTTTAGATTCTAGTCCTTCCACTTTAAGATATTGGGATAAAGTTTGCCCTTTAGGTTTTCTATCTGTAATTTAGGAATAACAGTCTCAGCCTTAGGAGAGAATAGGTATGTCCTTCTGTATAGAATATATGATACAGTAACTGGGACATTGGTATGTACGCAATATATATTGGCTGAATCTCATTGGTATGTATTACATTCAAAGTTAGCGTTGTTTAAAAGTTATTATTTTGCATTTTACTTTGTAGCTTATAATAGCTTTTGGCTGGAATGGGCTTTCACTGGCCTCTGTTGTATTTCACTTAAATTTCTCAACAACTTCACTGACTGTCGACATCTAGCCTCAGCTATAAAAGACATAGAAAATCTACCAGTTCCACTGCAATTATTTTATATTTTCAGACTGTAATTGTCAGGCAGTTACTTATAACTTTTATCTTTGTGTCTTATTCTTATTTTCTGGAAGCTTTAATTATCATGACTTCAAACATGTGAATGGACCATGCATTAATTTCCTACTGCTGCTGTAACAAATGACCACGAACAGTATTATAAAGCAACACAGATTTATCCTCTTACAGTTCTAGAGGTCAGACCCGTGGGAGGTGCCTTGACAGGTGCATTCCTTCTGGATGGTCAGGGAAGAACCTGTTTTCTTGTCTTTTTCAGCTTCATTGCTTGGCTCATGGCTCATGGCCCTTCTCCCCTGTTCCAAGCCAGCAATGGCTGGGCAAGCCTCGTGTTATCTCACTCTGACACTCTTCTGTCTCACGTGTTCCTCTGCTTCCCTCCTATAAAGACCCACGTGATGGCACTGAGCCACGTGGGTAATCCCGGGCAATCTCCTCATCCCCAGCTCTTTCATCTGCCATCGTATGTAAATTAACATATTTACATGTTCTGAGGATTAATTAGGACATGGACGTCTTTAGGGGACCATCAGTCAGCTATCACATATCTAAATCTCTCTCTCTCTTTTAAAGTTTTATTAAAATAAAATACACTCTCACAAAGTATACACATTTTGGGTGTACGGCATATGAATTTTCACAGCCTGAACAAGTTTCTAGATCAAGAAATAGAAGGGACCCTGTTCCCCAACACCCCGCCCTTGGTGCGGTCTCCCAGTTACTGTCCACACCCTCTGCCACAGCAGGTTGACTTCTCTGTCCTACTACCAGAGGTTATGCACTTCAGTGAAATCACAAAATGTAGACTCTGTTTCTGGCTTATTTGCTCAACATTATGTTTGTACATTTTATCCATGTTATTATTAATAGGTGTCCTTTATTTTCATTGCTGTACAGTATTTCATTATATACATATACCATAACTTATTTATGGTATATATGGTAAATGTCCATGCTTATGGACATTTGACACTTTATGAATAGTGTTGCCATGAACTTTTTGCATGCCTTTTTGTGAATATATGTATCCATTTCTGCTCAGTACCTACTTAGAAGTGGAATCACTGGACCATTTAGTATGCAAGTGTTCAACTTTAAAAAATATTAACAGCTGGCTGGGGTGACTCAGTGGTTGAGCATCAACCCATGAACCGGGATGTCACTGTTTCATTCCTGGTAAGGGCACATGCCTCGATTGTGGGCTTGATCCCAAGTAGGGGGCATGCAGGAGGCAGCCAATGTGTGATTCTCTCATCGTTGGTGTTTTTATCTCTCTATCCCTTTAACTTCTCTCTCTGAAATCTATATATAACATGTTTTTTAAAATATTGCCAAATAGTTTTCCAAAGTGATTGCAATTAACACTGTCACCAGTAGCAGTAAGAGGATGCTAATTGCACCATTTATTTGCTCCTGCTTGGTATTATCTATATTTTTTATTTTAGTTCTTATGGGGATGTATTGGTAATTTTAATTTACATTTCACTAGAGAATAATGAAGTTTAGTACTTTTACATATGTATATTGGTCATCTAAATATATTCTTATATGAAACTTCCCTTCAAATCTATTGGGTTATCTTTTTAATATTGGTTGTGGAACTTATTTATACATTCTAGTTACAAGTCCCTTTTCAATTGTATTTACTGAACATCTATTTTCCTACCCTGTGGTTGCCTTTACAGTCTCTTGATCAGAGTTCTTAATTTCAGTTTGCCATTCTTTCCATTTGTTGTTAGTGTCCTTTGTGTATTATTTTTTAAATATATTTTTTATTGATTTGAGAGAGATAAAGGAATGGAGAGGGAGAGCAGGAGAGAGAATAATCCATGCATGAGAGAAACATTGATTGGTTTCCTCCTGCACGCCCCTTACTGGGGATTGAGCCTGCAACCTGGGCATGTGCCCTGGCCGAGAATCAACCGGTGACCTCTTGGCTCATGGGTCAATGCTCAACCGAATGAGCCACACCATCGGGGCTTCTCTATCTTCTTTAAAAAATGTCTGCCAACCATAAACTCATTATCTCTCTGACTTTTAATGCCATTTATCAAGTTGTTATAAATTCATGGTAAGCTTCTAGGCTTTTTCTTTGGTCTCATCTACCTGTAATATATTTTTGCACCAATATAATTCTATCTTTTTTATTGTTGTTGTTGTTAATTCTCACCCCAGGATATTTTCTTCCACTGATTTTTAGAGAGAGTGGGAGGGTGGACAGGGAGGGGGAGAGGGAGAGAGAGAAACATCAATGTGAGAGAGACACATCTATTGGTTGCCTTCTGCATGCACCAAGACCAGGGCTGGGGATCAAAGCTGCAACACAGCTATGTGCCCTTGACCAGGAAGCAAGCCCATGACCTTTTGGTGCAGGGCCCGAAGCTGTTTCCATTGAGCCACACTGACTAGGGCTATAATTCCATCTTAATTAGTATTGCTTTATATAAAACTAGAGGCCCGGTGCACAAAAATTTGTGCACTCGGGGGGGGGGGGAGGGGGGAGTCCCTCAGCCTGGCCTGTTCCCTCTCGCAGTCTGGGACCCCTCGGGAGATAACGACTTGCTGGCTTAGGCCTGCTCCTGGGTGGCAGAGGGCAGGCCCAATCCCTAGGTGCAGCCCCTGGTCAGGCTCAGAGCAGGGCTGATTGGGGAGTTGGGGCACCGCCCCCTGTCATGCACAGAGCAGGGCGGATTGGGAGGTTGCGATGCCACCCTCAGTCACGCTCAGGGTAGGGCCGATTGGGGGGTTGGGGCACCGCCCCCTGTCACACTCAAGGCAGGGTCGATAGGGAGGTTGCGGCACCACCCCCTGTCACGCACAGAGCAGGGCCCATCAGGGGGGTTGGGGCTCCGTACCCTGTCACGTACAGAGCAGGGCCAATCAGGGGGTTGGTCGCTGCCCCCTGTCATGCACAGAGCAGGGTCGATCAGGGGGTTGGGAAGCTCCCCCCTGTCATCCACAGAGCAGGGCCGATCAGGGGGTTGAGGATCTCCCCCCTGTCACGCACAGAGTAGGGCCGATAGGGGAGTTAGGCACCGCCCCCCTGTCACACACAGAGCAGGGCCGATCAGGGGGTTGGGGTGCCGCCACTGTCACACTCAGGGCAGGGCCAATGGGGAGGTTATGGCTCTACCCAGTCACACAAGAGAAGGGCCTGTGGGGCGGGGGGAGGGGTTGGGGCACCGCACCCTGTCACAGAGCAGGGCCGATCAGGGGGTTGGGACGCCGCACCCTGTCACACACAGAGTCGCAGGGCGGTCAGGGGGTTTGGGCGCTGCCCCCTGTCACACTGATCCGGTGCCAGGAGGCCTCGAGGCTCCGCTAATCCCGGTGCTGGGAGGCATATTACCCTTTTACTATATAGGATAGAGGCCTGGGGGCCGGCTGGTTTGCCCTGAATGGTGTCCTGGATCAGGGTGGGGGTCCCCACTGAGATGCCTGGCCAGCCTGGATGAGGGGATGATGGCTATTTGCAGCTGGTCACACACCCTTCAGGGTGGGGGTCCCCACTGGGGTGCCTGGCCAGTCTGGGTGAGGGGCTGAGGGCTGCTTTCAGGCTGGCGGTTGTTGACTGAAGCTCCCAACTGCTCCTTTTTTTTCTCTCTTTTTTTTTTTATTCTGGGCCAGCTTTAGCTCTGGCTCTAGCTCTGAGGCTTCCGCTGGTTTGTTTGCGTTCTATAATCGAAACAATGTATAACTCCAGCTCTGAGATCCCGGGGTTTTGTTTAGCTTCTATATTTTTTACAAAGTTTCAAACTGCCAGCTCAGAGGCCGGCAGCGCAGGCGCGGAACGTTGGAGTCCTCCTTTACTGCAGCAAGCAAGCCTCATGTTCGCTTCCAGCTGCCTGGCTGCCGGTCGCCATCTTGGCTGACAGTTAATTTGCATATACTCACTGATTAGCCAATGAAAAGGGTAGTGGTCATACACTAATTACCATGTTTCTCTTTTATTAGTGTAGATACCTGCAGCTTGTTTATCTTCAATATTGTCTTAGCATACTGGGCCCTTTTCTCTTTAATAGAAATTTTGATTAAGTTAGTTTAGTTCTATGAAAAATCCTATGGGGATATTGATTAGAATTATTGAATTTATGGACTTCACCCCCTCCCTTTTTTAACACTTGGAGTGCGGGTGAATTTCCCGCCAAAATATAAGATGGCTCTGTCTTTTGGTTTTGTTCCATCCACCAAAAGGGTGGATTACAAACAAATATTGGGTAATACGCAGTTACAATCGGCCCGAGTTTACACGTTTCCCGCACTCCACCGCAAATCTATATGAACCGAGTTAAAGACGGCTCCCGAGGAGTACGCGCAATTCACGCGAGCCGACCTAACTCGTTTCCCGCACTCCAAGTGTTTATTCCCAATAGAAGAAGATAAAATTCTGCTTTATAGAGTTAAAAGCAGAAAATTGGCATGTCTTCTCGTCTTTTCCTTGGGAATCAGCTGCCTGCAGAAGTACACATTCTGTTCTATGCATTATGTTTTACAAGTACCTCCCCAATGAGAATGAGTGAATTAGTCTGTTAAATTCTAGCATCAAAGACTTAACTTTGATTTTGTTGCTGTATTCCTAAACTCAATCAATAATAAAATTCATATTTTGATCTTGACCTGCTGAATTCTTATTTCTGTATTGGTTAAGAACTTGGGTAGGTTATTGGTACTGCTTATCAGATACCTAAAAGCCCAACATGGAACTTTCCATTAATAATATAGATGCCTGTTTACTTCTTTTATGTTTTCAAGGAGTCACTAGACTCATTGAAGCTATTACTTCAACTTATCACTGTTATACTGAGTTCTGTTCACCTTTGAGAAGCAATATAATGTAATGGTTATGAGCAAGATTTTTTCTAGCTTTGCCATGTACTAACTGTATGTCTATGTAAAATTTATTTGTGAAATGGGGATAATAATACTTACTTCACAGAGTTATTGCAAGCATTAAATAAGCCAATACACATTAAAGTGATTTTAATAATAACTAGTGTCTAGGAAGTTCTCAATAAATGGTAACTATTATTAAAGCTGTTATTTTCTCAGCATTTAGAGTTGTTTGTGGCACATAATGGGCATTCAATAAGCACATTAATACTAATGGATTAAATTGAATTGAGATGATCAAGCTTTTATGGCTCTACCCTGTGTTCACAAACTCATTTGGTCTACTGCCTCTTGTTGGCTGTATCTTGTTTACCTTTCATAGAGACCTAGATTTTATAGAAATAAAACATTTGAAGATCTTTATATCCCTTGCTATTTGCATTGTTGCAATGTTATTACATCTGCAGGATATATCATAAGACTATTTAGGAAGGCGATTAAAAATATATCACTGAATCTTAAGATTTCTTAACATAGAGATTATTGGTAATAGAGTGCCAAAGTGTGTACATTGGCGCTTTACTTCATATTATTAAACAGAACTTTAAGAAGAGCAATCTTTGTGAGATCACTCAGTGCTGTCTGAAGGCCATAAAGATTAAATGTCTGATCTGAGGTCTCATAGACCAATTCCAAGGCTAAAACCTCATCGAATTCTCTTTTGCACTCTCCTGGATTTTGGTAAGAAATGTTTTGAGCTACCCCTACTGAAAACCTGACTGCTAGTGACTTAAACAAGTCAGGATTTATTTCTTATATACAACTAGCTGCTGGACGTTGTTGTTGGTTTTACTTCAGTAGCTCAGAGATGGCACAGCTCTGGGCTGACTTCTTCCAGGTTTGATTGGCCTTTCTGACATGGTTGCTTGATGACTATATTGGCTCCTAGTGTCATATCCTTGCCATGTTCACAGTCAGGAGCTCTTCCCATGCCTCTCTCTTATCTGGACAAACCAGTCTTTCTTGGGAGTTTATTGGCAGAACGGGGTTGCTCGGTCACGTAAAATTGAAGAGGCTAAGAAAGCAAATTCTATGGTGGAAGGGAAACAAGGAAAATAGGGTTAGAAATGCCATCGGGTTAGCCCTGCAGCAGTGCCAGTCACAAATATGCTATCTTAGTTGAATATTTATTTTTATAGCTCTATGCTACTATACATTCTAACATAAAAGTTGTTCATGTCTTACGTGCCATATTTTAGGTTTATACTTATGTGTCTGCTGCAATGATCAATCTGGAAAAAAGAGGTTAAATGGTCATCTTAATGCCATGTGTGCATTTCAAAACATTAACAACTTTTTTTGTACTTGTATTGTTTATCAAATGTATGTAACTTTAAAGTCATTGTTGACAAATGTGTTTCTTAACAGGATAAGAACACATTCAACATTAACCGAAAATATGCTTTCTCATAAAGTGCAATTTGACTGTAGGATCATATCAAGGTAAATATAAATTTATTAAACTTTTAAATCTTATGATTATAAAATGTATCCTATTTTCAAATAGAAATGACAATAATGAGATTAGTTAAATTTGTCACAAACAAGTGAAAAATGTGAATTTAGAACAAACATTTTTAGGTAATATATATCAATCTGTTATAAAAATTATAGGAAGTATGAACCTAACTAAAAGCATTTTAATTAGAAGTTATTTAAAATGTGATTTTAAAATGTCTTTCGAAAAGAAATAGAGAAGTGAATTTTTAAAAGGTATATATTACTACCAGAAGATTCTAAGCCATTGAAAAAATAGCCTTTATGTAAGCTGCTTTATATAATTTCATGTTAATGGCTTAAGTTAGAGTAGATTATTGATAGATGCAAGAAGATAACAAAGTAGATGATTCTTAACTCTTTTTTCTCTGTCTTATAAACTTCCAGTAAAATGTAAATGCTACTTGATATTCTTTGTGTACACTACTGGTAAAGTCTTTTTTTTTTAAATTATCATGTTTGTTTAATGATTTTAAACTTTCTTGGACAAAGGGTAATAAATGCACATCCTTGATTGGCTTCTTGAAAACTCAACGTTTTTTTAAAGATCTTTCACTTTACCTTAAAAGTCTATATCAAATTAGTAATCTACTTATCCATGTTCATATCAGTGTAAGGTAAAGCTTTTTCTCCATCCAAATCTAACTAAAATGGGCACTGCACAAGCCGTGGCATGTTTTTCCCGTGGCTTCCCCTCCAGTGGTCGGCAAACTCATTAGTCAACAGAGCCAAATATCAACAGTACAACGATTGAAATTTCTTTTGAGAGCCAAATTTTTTAAACTTAAACTATATAGGTAGGTACATTGTTATTAACTTAATTAGGGTTCTCCTAAGGCTTAGGAAGAGCCACACTCAAGGGGCCAAAGAGCCGCATATGGCTCGCGAGCCGCAGTTTGCCAACCAGGGCCCTAACCCCTGCTCATTGCCACACACTCCAGGGAGTCAATATCATCCCTCTGGCGTGATGATTTTAGCTTATTATTTAATTTGAAAGTGATCTTATTTGAAAAGCTTTGATATTATTCTCTTTTTCTAGAAATGGACGTGATGCTTGCAGAGAGCTGGTTGGGTTCTTTTTTATTCATGATCAGTCCCTTACAATTTACGAATATCGGCAATTTGGGAAAAATAGGTATGCCATAAAGCATTGTTACATCTCTCAAGATGACTACTTCTGAGAGCAGCTGACTAATTTCACATTCTTGTCATTTAACTTCTAGAACAAATGTGCTTCCTTTTATTAAAAAAAGCACTTATAGTCATCAGTGTGGGCGAAGAAAAGGCAAACAATACCAACTTGGCGATTTTTATATTGTAAGTTTGTGTATGTGTACAAAGGTTTAATTCCAGGTGTTGGATTTTCTGGGTCCTGTGGGGCTGGAGGAGTGGGCTTCTCTTCTTAGCTGGTTCTCCTTCCTGAGCAGGGGCATTTATTTGTGTGAGTGGCCAATGGTTGATGTTTCCCTGGAGGTTCTGCCTCTCAGACTCAGACCCCAGTGCTCTGAATCGAAGCATAGCTTTTATCCCCTGTAATATTAGCTTCTGCCCCCACCCAAATCCCCAATGTAAGCCCCGAAGAGCTTGTTTCTTGGTACTTTTAAAGGCTTTCCAGGGCCCTAACATTTTGCTCAGTGGTTAGAGCTTCTGCTTCCAGAATGAACCTGTCTCAGGTTGGATTCCGGTCAAGGCCACCTACCTTGGTTGCAGGCTCAATCCCTGGCCCTGGTTGGGGCACGTGCGAGATGCAACCAACTGATGTGTTTCTCTCACATCGATATTTCTCTCTGTCTCTCCTCCTCACTTCTACTCCTTCTAAAAAAAAATCAATGGAAAAAATATCCTCAGGTGGAGATTAAACAAACAAACAAACAAACAAAGGTTTTACAGGGCTGTGCCACTGGGCTAGGGGCAGTGCTCCACCTAAAACAGGCTTATCTTCTGGGGACACATGGTTTTTCTCCACACAGAGGGGTAGTTGGCTCTGGAACTGTCATATATATCTGATAGTCAGCTTATCTTTGTGATTTTTCCACCTCATGTAACTCCTGGCATATGTTGTATCACAAGGAATTCCTAGAATGGGTTGATAATCTATAATAATAGAAGCATAATATGCTAATTAGACCAGATGTTCTTCCGGACGAAGCCGGGGCTGCGAGGGAAACCCGGGTCCCAGGTCCCAGAGGGAAGCCGGTGCCAGTAGCTGGGGGAAGGAAGGCCTATTCTTGCATGAATTGTGTGCATTGGGCCTCTAGTAGATAATGTTACAAATCTGTATAGTGCTCCTATATTTTAAACCATTATATTCACACTAGAGTCCTGGTGCATGAAGTCGTGCATGGGTGGGGTCCGGCTGGCCCACCCCAAGCGGGGTTGGGGGGGGAGCGATCAGGGGCAGGGCCAGTTGGGGGGAGGGCCTCAGGCAGTTGGCCAGACAGCCTCACCCCCTCATAGAACTCCTAGTGGAACTCCCGGTTGAGGGGACAATTTGCATATTAGCCTTTTATTATATAGGACTAGAGGCCCGGTGCACAAAATTAGTGCATGGGGGGGGGTGTCCCTCAGCCTGGCCTGCACCCTCTCCAATCTGGGACCCCTCGGGGATGTCTGACTGCCTGTTTAGGCCTGATCCAATAGGCCCCAACTGCCCTCTCCTGCTGGCCCAATCACCCCAAACTGCCTTTCCCTCCCGGCCCAATCGCCCACAACTGCCCTCCCCTGCCGGCCTGATTGCCCCCAACTGCCCTCCCCTGCCGGCCTGATCACCCACAACTGCCCTCCCCTGCCACGACCCACCTTCTCTGCCAGGACCGGCCCCCTCCACACTGCGTGGAGCCATGGGACCCCCAGGCCTCACTTCACAGAGTGGCCACCAGGCCCCGCCTTTGCTGTGCACATGGCCATCTTGTGGCGGCCATCTTGTGACGATGTCACGCGCGAGGGTGCGAGGACCACCTAGGTTTTTATTAGTTTAGATGTTATCTCATGATTACAATGCAGCACTATCCACCGTGATCATTCATGTAACAAATACTGTATATTCATAGGCTAAGCATTAGAGAGAGCACAGTGGGTAAGTCAGACCCATTCCCCGCTTTTGTTGAGTTTAGTCTAATGGGAAACATTGTCAGATAGGAGGGGTAATAATTTAGATTTGTGGAGTCAAAGAAGGCTTCATGAAGAAAGCGCCATCTAAGTTTCACTAGAGGAGGAGTTAGCTAGATTGGATAGGGAGATAGGAGAGGGGAGGGGAAGTCTGTCTGGAGTATAGAGTTCAGGGTTGGTGGTGTCAAGAATGAGTCAGAGCTCACTAACAGCAGCCTCTGTTAAAGAGTTACCTAAAATGTGTTGGGTTCGATTCTGGGTCAGGGCACATGCTGGGTTGTGTACTGAAGGTCACCGATTAATGTTTCACTCTCCTTTTCTCCCTTCCCCTCTCTAAAAATCAATAAAAAAACACATATCCTCCAGTGAGGATTTAAAAATAAACAAACAAATAAATGAAATGTGTTGGGGAGTCATTGAGAGATAAGATGTGGACGAAATGTGGAGAGAGAGGTGACATCAGGTTTGTGGTTTAGAAAGACCTCCAAGTTACTATGTGGGAAAGAGATATGTTAAAGACTAGGTATAAAGAACCAGATTGGATTGAAATATAGAGATTTAGGAAGGAGGTTATGACAACCTGAAGTAGGCAGGTGACTGTGTCTGTGAAGCTAATTAGAAAAATAAAATGAAAAATCTTCTTTAGGAGGTAGAATCAGTAAGATGTAGTGACTGTCAGGTGAGGACAAACTTTACATCTTAAGCTGGGATTAAATAGAATATACACAAGTCACTCAAGTCTGCCTCTTGAGAACTGGAGAAAATCAGCTCCGACTCCCACTTCACAACCTGCGGAAAGGATGTCTAATGCCTACCCCACGACTGAAGTTACCTCTGGCTCTGAGTGCTGTCTCCAATAACTTAGTGTGGTTTATGATTTATTCTACCCTTCCTGTTCTATGTCACTTGAAGCAGATGTGGAACTCTGCTCCCTTTTATGATTTCCATCAAAGAAAAGAAGAAAAGAAGGGAGAGAGTGGGGGAAATCTGTACGCAAGCCATGTACATGATGCTTTGTGTGTATGGCAGACAATTTGAAAGGCACATGGAGGGAAGTTACTATTGCAGCAGTGTCAGCAGCTTACAATTTATTAGACATTCTTATTCTTAGATATATGTCCCTTGAGTATTTCCCATGGTAAACGCACCTCCTCTTCAATATTCTAAATTTGATTCCTCCCATCTTTTTCTCCTCCCTTCAATACTCTATTTCTTTATGCAGAAATATTCTACTGTGTCCTTCTTTATTTTGGGGGTGAGGGTGTTACTTCTGATTTCCAGATGTTACTCTGGAACTTTTCTATGTGCCCCACCAAGGTCTTTTCCTAAACACTTCCTAAAAGAAACTTTAGTGCCTGCTATTAAGATAATAATCAAACAAACATACACACATGCCCACAGGCACACATACATAAAAAGAGCACCCACATATGTTCATTCATGTGCATGAATGTATAGCTTCAGATGCACGGACACAGATCACATGGATGTAACCTATGTACACATGAATATATACACACATTTGCTTTTATGTATGTTCTTATGTTTATAACCCTACTACACAACCCACATAGTCTCTTCAACTGCTTATTATTATGATTTGAAAAGAATTTATACACATCTACACTAATAAAAGAGAAACATGCAAATTGGCATCACTCTGCTACGCCCACCAGCCATTCAGAGCGACTATGCAAATTAATCTAACAAAGATGGCAGTTAATTTGCATATGCAGGCAGCCAGAGGGGAGGAACCAAGCCTCGCTGTAGCCTCAAGGCTAGGCTTCTCCTCTGCGGCCCGACCAAAGGCCTGGGTCCCGAGTGCCGGAGGAAAGGAAGGCCCATTGCGTGAATCTTCGTGCAATGGGCTTCTAGTTTCAAATAAAGGAGGAAGCACTTATAGTTACAAGTTTTCTTAAGTAAATGCTCCAGGAAAAAGGAGAGGAAAGAAATCTCTTCCATTATTTTTAACAGAGAAAATTAAACTTCCCATTTGACCATATTTATATGAGTGACTTAGAGATCAAAATAATAACAATATTCTGAGTAGATTAAGTATATTTGATAGGAATATTTTATTGAAGTCTTTAAGTTCAAATCAGGTTAAAAGTAGGTTTTATGTTTATGTGATGTTTGTTATCTAAAGACTAGTTGAAAAAGTGTGATTGATCTATCACAGTTCATCAATTTGCAGTACATCTTTCTGTGCATCAATAGCTCTATTTTCTTTCTTTTTTAAAAAATATATTTTATTGATTTTTTACAGAGAGGAAGGGAGAGGGATAGAGAGTTAGAAACATCGATGAGAGAGAAACATTGATTAGCTGCCTCCTGCACACCCCCTACTGGGGATGTGCTCGCAACCAAGGTACATGCCCTTGACTGGAATCGAACCTGGGACCCTTGAATCCGCAGGCTGATGCTCTATTCACTGAGCCAAAGTGGTTAGGGCTAGCTCTATTTTCATTTGAATAATCTGTCATTTCTTCCTAAGATTCTTATGAAGATCGAGTTCTTATATTATTTTTCTACATGGATTGTTAAATAGATGATTATTCTAATTCAGAGATTGATTGGGAGATTAGTTCCTTTATTTTCCTATATTATTAGTTGAAGCCTGTGTGACTTCTAAATGGTCTCTAAAATGCTTTTTAAAAATCATTATAAAAGTATACCGTGTCACATAGTAAAAATTAAATATTTAAAATTAGTATTAGTTGTATCTTACTTCTTCTAGACATTATAAGCTTTAAATAATTCATCTGTTAATTTTTTTAGGGTGCAAACTTGACATTTTTAAGTTCTGATCATCTCAGACTTCCAGAAAGCATAAAAGAAAACACATTACTTATCCTTCGAATCACAAATATTGATCGGGTATCTTCGGATGATCTCAGGTAAGTAACACATGCATTTGTCATTTTGAAGGAAAGTGAAAACACTGTTATTTATTATCTTAAAATTAAATCATTTCCAAAACATTTTGTCTTAAGTTAGATTTATATTTTTTAAAACAATGCATAGCCATATCTGTCTATTTTATTTACCTCACACTCCATGTGTGGAAACAGTTACAATCAAGCAAAGAACAAAAATGTCCCATTTTATGTTGAAGAAACTGTATTAATTGGCCTTTGCTATAACACTTCTATTTTATAAAATGCTAAGACAGAAATAACATTTAAAAGATGAGATACAGTACATCACACTATAGTTTAATTTCCCCACATTTTAGTGTGATGTTTTGTTTTTATAGCATTATAAGTGTCTTGGGTCCTACATGTTACTAGTGTTCATTTTTTGCTAATATCCATAATGTAAAAATAATTCTATGAATATAAAAGGCTTTTAAATGAATTGGACCTATGTTAATTATTTTTATATATTCTATTGTTATTGCTGAGTGCTTCTTAGAGGTAAATATAGTGCTATTCGGTGTTTCTTAGTGATAAATATAATTCATTTTATTGTATGGCTCAAAGTGAATGCATTTTTTAGTTTTCCAAAATAGCACTTTATACTTTGCAAGGTAAAACTGCTTTTAAATTTAATAGTTTTAATTATTTTAAAAGAACAATGAAATGGCCACAAAAATGAATATAATGTTTAAAGATAATTCTTGGGAGGTTTTAAGGATTTTAGCCCTTGATTTAGCATATTAAATCCTCCCAGGTATGAAATCAGCAGGCGGAAGGTGGGATTTGATTAATCTCTAGGCACTCTTCTAACTTTGATAGAGTTTCATTGAGACTTGAGCAGGGAAGAGCTGAGAGTTTCCACACTCAGAGTTACAAAAGAGATTGTATTTTTTTCATTGTTAACATGTCCATTGCAGAACTGATTCTGTGGAACAGGAGGATGATACAACCAGGCAAGAGGCCAATGATAGGCTGGTCTTCAAAGCCATTCAAGGTCTGTGTCATTTTAGTATACTCTCAAGTATTTTAAATTTTTAACAATTTTCTTTGTAAGTAGTAAAGCAGTATTTTTCAGGTATTTCTTAGTTTTATGACACTTGACTTATATTTTCTATTTGCTTATCTTTTTTGCAAGTTAATTATGTACATATACATATATATGGTTTCCCAAAAAAATGTATACACATACTTTGAATAATTATAAAGGCAGTTTTTATTAAAATACATTTCATTTTCAAAATTGAGCTATCAGCTGTTAAAGGGTGTATATATATTTTTTTGGGGGGGGGACACTGTATATGTATACAAGTATTTTAAAGATTTCTCCTACTTTAATAATCCTATCTAACTGAATAACTAGTATTATATGAATTATGAATTTAACAACTAGAAAGAACTAGGCAATATGGGTTTATTCATGAACTGAATCAAGTAGCTAATTTTGTAATATAGTACTTGTCTTATGCATTAGATGATATCCGAAAGAGATTTGTAGTAGTTTAGTGTAAAAGAAAAAATGAGAGATTGGGAGCCAGATGTGTTTGGACGCTGTCATTCAATATACATATAATTGTGTAATTCTCTTGTACCTCTTTCTTCATCCTTAAAATGCAGAAAACAATTGGTTTTATTAACTTTACATAGTTGATGTAATATATGTAGGCTTTGGACACTAACACATATTACAGATTTTATTTCTAGAGTCTAATCTTCTACTATAGTATACTAGGCTCAGACAATTCTTTTGTTGAATTTCTTAGTCTAGAAGTAATCACAGAGAATCATCATATAATTTATGAATTTTGATAAATCCTGATTTATAATTTAAAGATGATCACAGAGTAAGAAGACTAGAAACATTTTAAAGTTGTAGGAATTGGTATTTGAAGTCTCAAATATTCTTGATGCCATTGTTTGTAAATTGTTTATTTACATAGTCAATACAATATTTGTCACTATTGTGTCAGGTGATATTTACTTCCTCTATATATTTTATTTACTATGTTATTAGTAAAGTTCCCTATATTTCCTTGAGATGGCACAAACTGCACTAAATGAAATCACTGACCCACAAAGAGAATACTAGGGGCCTAGAATATAACTTCTTATGAATTCCTGGAAGAAAGGATTACTTTCAAATGTATCAGTACAGAATAACACTCCAAGCCTTGATGCTCTTTCACATAGAAGTTTTAATTTGAAACTGTTTTAGACATTTTGAACTGATCATCTTTGAGTGACTTGCCTGGTTTCAATTTTGTAATTCATTTGAACAACAAAAACAGAGGAAGGAGATGAAAAAATGTGGGATTGTTAGATGAAAAGGATGCCTAGAAAAGGAAATTTTATTTGTAACATTTAGGTTATTTTCATGCTGATAAAGTGAAACATTGTTTTCCTATATTTAAAAAATAACACTTTCACCACACAGTGGTGCTATAGTTCTGGTATATTTGCATGCAATTTTATATATAACCTTCTTTATTAAAAGGATTCTATTTTTCAAAGTTTTTTTGTCAGTCATACATACAATTAGGTTGACATTACTCATATCAGTTACATCAAGTTTAACTTTCTTACATGAGAGACAATTGCAATTTGATAAATTTGTGAACAGGAAGTATTAGTTTCCTTCTTTCCTTTTTCTAAACAGATAAGCTAAAAGAACAGCTACATAAAAGAGGTGTCCGTATTTTGACTGCAATGGGAAAATACTTTCGACAACTGGACAAGGAAGGAAATGGACTTTTAGATAAAGCAGATTTTAAGCAAGCTCTGAAAGTCTTTCACTTAGAAATGTCTGAAAAGGTATGCATACAGATACTTCACTGCATGAATGATTTATTATTCTTAGGTGATATTCTTCACTTCTCTACTGAAATTTTAGTAGTTCATTTGTCTCCTTCTTCTTCTTTATGCCCCGTTATTAGTATTAAGCCACCAGGTAATACGCCCTGTTGATTTTTTAAAATTTCAACATTCATTACTATATATATATATATATATATATATATATATATATATATATATTCACCTCCCCCCCCCAAAATGTGTACACACTTTAATAGCTGATAACTCAGTTTTCACTTCTGCTCAGGTTTAACTGATTTGAAATAATGGGTGAAGCTAGACTAAGCTTTGAACAAAGAAAATTTATCCTAAAGTGTTTCTAGACTTTTTTTTATGGGGATACCCAAAATATAAAGTTTATGGTACAAAACCGACAGTAGTCGATGAATTGAGGGCACATAAATACTTAACAAAATGATTCTTGATGTTTGGGATTCCATTGCTTTGAGTTATCAGCAGTGCCTGGACCAGAACAGTCATCAGTATGACAACAGGCATTGACCAAAAAAAAAAAAAAAATTCATTTCTATAGATTATTTTAAATTTTGAAAATGAACTATATGTTAATAAACACTGACTTTATAATAATTCAAAGTGTGTATACATTTTGGGGGGACACTCTGTATATTTAGAGCATTTTAACTAGCCATTATCCAAAGCTCTGAAAAGATATGCTCTGTCCTCAAAGGTCTTCATAATAAAAGGATAGAAATATATAAATGATTACAAAATAACATGTGTTAAGTAGAACATGCTTTCAGAACACATGGGATAAATTTCAAATCAGGTTATAGGGAAGGAGAGGGAAGATCATAGAAGGATTCCTGGAGGAGGACATATCCCAGCTGAATTTTAAACATGAGGAATTAAGCAGACAAGAGCGGAAGGGTGTGGATCAGACAATGGATCATTCACAGAAAGGAGAAGCGCATGTGAAGGCATGGAGGGGAGAGGGAGTGTGGCCTGTCCAGGAATTACAAGTTGTTCATGCCCTCAGTCCCCACCCCCAGAGCCTTCGCACATACTGTTCCCTCTGCTGTGGAGTAATCTTCCTCTAGACCAGTGGTTCTCAACCTTCCTAATGCCGCGACCCTTTAGTACAGTTCCTCATGTTGTGGTGACCTCCAATTTCATTGTTACAAATTGAACATAATTAAAGCATAGTGATTAGTCACAAAAACAATATGTAATTATATATGTGTTTTCTGATGGTCTTAGGCGACCCCTGTGAAAGGGTCATTTGACCCCCAAAGGGGTCGAGACCCACAGGTTGAGAACCGCTGCTCTAGACCTTTGCATGCTGGATTTTCTCATCATTCAGGCCACAGTTTTCTCTACGGAGAGTACGGCCCTGGCACTTCTGTCTATAGGAGCACCCATCTGGTCCCTGGATCCCTGGTCTTCTCTCTACCATTTCCCCATTTTCTTTTCTTTATGCTACTTTTTAAGTATTGTCTGGCGGTGCCTGCAAATGGAAAGTAAACCCCATTAGGGCAGAGGCCAGGGCACTTCTTATTTCCTGTTCTATTTCTTTATTTAATTTTAGTGATATTAGAGAGGGGAGAGAGAGAGAGAGAGAGAGATCTCGACCATGGACTGGTTGCCTCCTGTATGCGAGCCCAACCAGGGGCAGGAGTCCCAACAGGGGGCAGGGAGTGAACTCACAACCCAGGTGCACGCCTTGACCAGGAATCGAACCCGAGACCCTTGGGTGCATGAGATGACACTCTAACCACTGCACAACCAACCAGGGCAACCTTGGTGTCTTTATCCATGATTACATAGGTAATAAATAACAGAGATAAAACTGGAACCCAGATAATTCAGTCGAGTCTAGTACTCTTTCTTTATATATGTGTATATATATTTTACTTCAGAGAAGAAGGGAGAGAGATAGAGGGATAGAGAACATCAATGAAGAGAGATAATCATTGATCGGCTGCCTCCTACATGCCCCCACTGAGGATCAAGCCCCTAAACTGGGTATGTGCCCTGACCGGGAATTGAACCATGACCTCCTTCCTGGTTCATAGGTCAAAGTTCAACCACTGAGCCACACTGGATAGGCAGTCTAGTACTCTTTCTGCATCATCACAATAGTTCCCTTTTTGGTTGATTTGTTAAATTTTTATGATTAGATTCAGGAATAAAAACAAAAAATTATACAAGGCATCTAACAGAGAGAGAAAATTTTATGAGAATATGAGTAAACTTCCCCTTTTTCTCTTATATTTTAAACATTTCCTCCCCGTCCCGTCGTTCACCACCACATGGAGATTGGCCATGCAAATTAAGTGGCTATCAAATAAGAATATAAACAGAAGCATGAACATATAGAACAGACTGACAGCTCTCAGGGGGAGGTGGGCAGGGGGAGGTGGGTACTGGGTGAATGAAGGTGAAGGGATTAGGCAAAGGACATATATGCATTACCCATAGGCACAGACAACAGTGTGGAGATGGCAGAGGGAAGGGGTTGTGGTGGAAGTGGGCACAGGGGGGACATCTGTAATACTGTAAGATAAAAATAAAGTTAAAAAATCTTAATATTAGAATAACTTAACATATAGAAAATAACCTTTTCTTTTTAAACTTGCTTTACTAACCACTTTTCTATTGGTTATTTCCAGTTTATAATTATTACTAGAGGCTCGATGCACAAAATTCATGCAAGGGGCTCGGCTCTCACAGCCCCGGCTTAGTTCGGAAGGTTGTCCGGAAGGATGTCCAGTCTAATTAGCATATTATGCTTTTATTAGTATAGATAATAAATGTTGCAATACATATCTTTGTGCAGCCATCTTTGCACAAATAAGTAAATATATATATGAATCACCTAGAAAAGAAATTGGTATGCACCGTAAATAGCTTAATTTCTATAGAGATCCTATCATTGAATAAACCTCAGTTTTCTTCAACTAATTATCATTTTTCATTCTGTACCATATCTTGAAAAAAGAAGGGGGTTATATAAATTTGTTGCCACTTTTGGTAACTTATTCAAGTTTTGAAAATTATTCATTTTAAGCCTCAAGCATTGTCTTTTAAATCTAGTATTCCATGAGTTGGGTTAGCAAATTCATTTTTTCCTATCCATATTAGTTATGAGTTCACACTTAAAAGCCCATTTTACAGACCCTTAAAGTCTGTATCATGTATAGGTCATTAAGGCAGACAAAAAAATGTATGGGTTGCTGAGATTTAGTTTTTCCTACTAAAGTTTTATTTGAAAAATTAGGAGGAAGTAGAAGAGAATATTTTTGGAGGACCTGTTATTACTGGAAAGGGGACCTGGCCTGAGCGAGTCTGCCTCAGGGCCAGCAGATAGCGTGTGGGTTCTTCGCTCCGTGCAGGAAAGAGTTTACAACACAAGTCCAGGTGATTTTGAGAGTACGCTTACTACAGCTGGGGGCAGTGAACCAAGGAAGAGCCTAGGATAGAAGCAGCAGCGGGAGACTAGGCAGGGCTCACTGGAGAGTCGGAGGAAAGGGCCTTGGAGACAGGCTCAGGGGTTAGCCCTGGATGAGCTGGTGCTGCTGCCCATTGCTCCCCTGGTTGCAAGTCTCCTCGGGACCCTTCGAATTCAGGAGATGCACCTCTGAGAGGGAAGAAGGGGGGGAAGCAAAGGTGAGGGCATGCTCCCAGGAGAGGGGGTATTCCTGGCCTTTTGTTTTGAGGTTTTTTAAAGGCTGGGCATTTAGGGGAGATCTCAATAGATTATTCATCAGCTTTTCCAGGCGTGTCCTTTCAGAGTCATGGTCTCTACTGATTGGTCAGGGCCAGGGGGTCGTTAGTCATCGCAGCTGGTCCTGGCATCACCTGCTTGGATTTGTGGCTTTTCTGGGACTGGAGCTGAAATACCATTATTTCTAGGGAGAGGTCAGAGGGTCTAAATCACATGCCCAGCCATACACCAGGGGAGGAAAGGCCACCCTGGGGGTGAGATCTAGCACTAGTTTTGCTCATTGCTAGGCACCTGGCTTTCCTACCCTTGGAGACCTTCTGTGCCTGGCTGTAAATTGCTTGGCCAGTTTGTTCAGCTATCTGTCTCAGTTTCCCTGGCCCACAAGCAATTTTCTTAACTTCTTACTATCCTGCTTCACTATTTTTTGTCAATCACCTTGCAGATGTTTTGTTTACATTCTCATTGAAAGCTAACAACTGAAACCTGAATTTAAGAAAATCTCATGGTGTGATTTCTTTGTTATTAGGAACTCTGGAAATAGAATATTCTATTAAATAGTGCATTTATCAAAGCAATAAGTGGCAATGGTAAAATGAACAAACTAGCATAAGAGATTTACTCAGAATAACACCTTATGCTGTAAATTGTGGAATCATATTAGAATCATTCAAATATTATGCTTTATACTTTCAAGCCTGAAGACTAGGAGAAATACAATTACTGGTTCTATTGCTATTGGATGCATTCCAGAACCTGAAGTGATTTTTTAATTGTCACAGATATAATATGTAAAAATAATTAAATGTCCAAAGCCAAGTAAACAATGAGCACTTTTATTTTTGTATGGAAAGAAAATGAATTTAAAATGACAATTTGTTTCTTATTGTCACTCCTAAATGATTATTAAATTTACAGAACTGTTCACCACAGAGTTTCTTTAAATAGCTTTCTGAGTGCCTTTGAATGGATTTGGATATAATTTTTTTTTTGGAGGGGGGGGAGATTTTCTTAAGTCCTCTACCTTGTTTAAGAATATAAAAGATGTAACAAAACACTATGATCTTATGGTCATGTACAACTTTAAGGTGTAAGAGTCATTGGTCTCTGTGTATTATTTCTAGGATTTTGAGTCTTCATGGCTAATTCTGAATGACAATGGCAATGGCAAGGTTGACTATGGAGAATTCAGACGTGCCATTATTGGTGAAATGAATGAATACAGAAAATCATTTGTTCGAAAGGTAACTAAGTAATCTTTTAAATAGTTACTTTTAAAAAATATGTTTTTATTGATTTCAGTTAGAGCAGTGGTTCTAAACCTTCCTAATGCCGCAACTCTTTAATAAAGTGTCTCATGTTGTGGTGACCCCCAACCATAAAATTATTTTTGTTGCTACTTAATAACTGTAATTTTGCTACTGTTATGAATCGTAATGTAAATATCTGATATGCAGGATGTATTTTCTTTGTTACAAATTGAACATAATTAAAGCATAGTGATTAATCACAAAAACAATATGTAATTATATATGTGTTTTCCGATGGTCTTAGGCAACCCCTGTGAAAGGGTCGTTTGACCCCCAAAGGGGTCTCGACCCATAGGTTGAGAACCGCTGCGTTAGAGGAAGGGGAGGGAGAGATATAGAAACATTGATGAGAGAGAAACATTGATTGGCTGCCTCCTGCAAGGCTCCTAGTGGGGATTGAGCCTGCAACCGGAGCATATGCCCTGACCACGAATCAAATCGGTGACCTCCTAGTGCAGTGGTTGGCAAGCTGCAGCTGGTGAGCCACATGCGGCTCAGTGGCCCCTTGAGTGGGGCTCTTCCACACTTCCACAAAATACCACGTGCGGGCAAGCATGTACAGTGCGATTGAAACTTTGTGGACCATGCGCAGAACTCTCCCAGGATAAATCTAAATAATTTATGCATATATTTTAGGAAAATAATATAAAAGGAAAATGAAATATGAATCAAATTTTGGTTCACAAATTACTAATTCCATAAACACTGCTGTCTCCATAAACTACTAGCTATGTGACTACTGGTAATACTTGAGTGCAGGTTACCTATCTCGACCCCGAGAAAGAAGATACCTACCAAGAAGGGCTCCTGGTGGCTAACTGGTCTCAAATTTATAAATAGAGCCTAACAGCCCTGTCTAAACAGGGCCCTCACACAAACCTGCACCGTGTTCCTGCTGTATGAGCCAGCCCTTATAGAGGAGTTCCTGAAATAATGTTTCAGCCAATAGGACTGAGACTTCCCTGTTCAGTTGGAACTGTGCAGCTATATCCTCATTAGCATTTTATTGACCTATCAGATCAGCTCACTGACCAATCAGGGCAGTGTGTTTTGGACCAGCCAAACTTCAAGGATTTGGAGTTCTCTATTGCATGAGGATAGACTAATTAAGGTCCAGGGGCCGGGACTTCTCTATAAGTCAGCTTTCCTCTGGCTCAGGGCGAACCTATGACATGCGTGTCAGAGGTGACACGCAAACTCATTTTTTTGGTTGATTTTTCTTTGTTAAATGGCATTTAAATATATAGAATAAATATCAAAAATATAAGTCTTTGTTTTACTATGATTGCAAATATCAAAAAATTTCTATATGTGACACAGCACCAGAGTTAAGTTAGGGTTTTTCAAAATGCTGACATGCCGAGCTCAAAAGGTTCGCCATCACTGGAGTACACTTTCCCTTTCTGTTGAAGACCAAAGACTGTTTTCCCGAGCTGGAGCTGCAACACTGAAGATATCTCCTCAGGTCAGAATGAAGCAGAGCTCAGAGCGGAGCAGAGCAGGCACTCCGGACAGGAGCAGAGCTTTGTGAGAGGGGCCTCACCCAAGGGCCACCTCTCAGAAGACCATCTTGCAGCCATGCTGTTTCACACTTGAGCTGTTTGAACTGGATAAAGTTTCCTTTTTCACTGTACCCCAAATTGGGGATTCCTGTTGACAGTGAAATGGTGCCAACAATCATCAGTTGGCACCTTATATCTTGCTCCAATGCCTTTCTTTCTTGCATTCATGATGCTTCCTGCATATACCAGTTTAGTATTTTTAAATTGTCTTGTTTAAAGCTTATAAATAACTACTGCAGAATAATAAATGAGGTTTGCGTGTCTAATGATTTCATAGAAAAAAATAACATTTCTCTTATTATTTAGGCTTTTATGAAACTAGATTTCAACAAAACTGGCAGTGTGCCTATCATAGACATAAGAAAATGTTACTGTGCAAAGAAGCACCCTCAAGTAATTTCAGGTAATTATTATGAGGTAAAATCCATTAGATTTCTAAAATGTTAGTTAATGAAAGTAATATCTTCAAGTAATATTAGTATATAATGTAGACCTGAGGCCATTAGGGGAGGAATAAATCATTATGTTTTAAACTAGAAAAGTGAGAGCTCTTTGACCTTCATTTAAAAATTCTCAGGTCTATTGTCTACTTATTTTTTCTTCGATGTTTATAATCAAGATTGAACTTTCATTTTCTATTCAGCTAGTGAGGAATTTGAGTTAAAAATAACAGAATAGATATAGAGAATAGATAATTACATGTGCAAATTCTCTGAATTAGTTTCACTGAATGTGCTTATACTTGAAGATTTAAGGCAGAATGAGGGAATGTCTTTCTCTAAGGGTAGAGCTACACATATAATGAAGATATAATGAAAATTTGAAGATATAGAGAACATCTCAAAGTAATTCTAGAGACTCATTACCCTACTATATTTCTTCTGACTTTATATAATAAAAATTCACTTATAAATACATAATTGATTTATAAGTGAATTTTTATTATATAGAAAGCATTTGGCCACTTTACATTGCATTTTCCTTTAAAGAGATAGCAATTGCTATTATTTAATCTTTAAAGCCTAAGCGATTGTTACGACCAAACGACCAGAATGACCAGAACAACAGGCCGGTAGCTATGAAGCGAACTGACTCAGACCTTGCTGCTAGGGCCCTGACAGCACTGAATCTGGTTCACCCGCACCACGGACCCAGGCAGGAGGGAGGAAGGAGCCCAAATCCTTATGGAATCAGCCGTTGGTTAGCTTGCTGCCAGGGCCAACCTCCCCCAGTACCTCCTGCCAGCTGGCCAGGCCAAGGGACCACACCTGTGCACTAATGCATGCACTGGGCTTCTTATATGTACATATATTCCAGTCCTTACATTATAGAGTTTCATAGTTTATATGTACTATAAGTATCTAATAATTTTTGAAATTTTTTCATGAATGGTTCACTAAACACATTGCTGTGTAGTTTGCTATCTTATTCAACAATTAGAGGCCCAGTGCATAAATTCATGCACTGGGAGTTAGGAGGTCCCTCAGCCTGGATTGCGAGAGGGCACAGGCTAGGCCGAGGGACCCCACTGGTGCACAATCAGGCCGGGGATGGACTCGGGAAGTTGGCCAGCTGGGTAGGGGCTGCTGGAGGGCTCCAGGGCATGTCTGGCCCATCTCGCTCAGTCCCAATCGGCTGGACCCCAGAAGCAAGCTAACCTGCCAGTCGGAGTGTCTGCCCCCTGGTTGTTAGTGCATGTCATAGCGAGCAGTTGAGTGGCCTTAGCATATCATTAGCACATTATGCTTTGATTGATTGAATGGCTGACCAGACGACCAGACACTTAGCATATTAAGCTTTTATTATATAGGATATGTTTTAGAGCTATTTCTAAGTTAATCCATGTTGAGCTATCTTATTTTTATCTGCTGCATGTTATTCTTTTAAAAAGTCAATATATTATAATTGAGTGCAGGTTACCTATTTCTTAGCAAAAAATAGTGTGAAAACTTATCTACCTGGCTAGTCTTCTCTTGGAAGACTTTTAATTTCTACCTATTATGTGCAACCAACAAACTAATGAGTTTGTTTATTTGGCCTATTTTCTTGGGGTAATATCAAGACCTAGAATATCAACATTACAAGTTTTAATTGATACTTGCAAAATGCTTTGTAAGACAGCTATACCAAATTATACTGCCATTAATTGGAGATTTTATTTTACCTCAGATTTTTGCCAATCTAATAGTCTATATTTTTTAAATTTGCATTTCCCTGGGGAGATTAAACACATTTTTGTATGTAATTTATATTTAATGCATAATCTCTAATTTATAATTTTGATTATGTACTGATAAATACTATAGAAGGCTATTATTCTAGAATTTTCCTTTTTTAATATTAAAAAGATACACTGTAATTACTTTGATTTATTTCTGTTATTAACCCTTTCAAATAGTTTATTTATTACTTTTAATTGTGAAGTGAAAAAAAACCAAGAGAATTTGTATGAAGATTAAAGCGAATAATCACCACTGGCTTTCCAATTTTTAATAATATATTTCAGGTCAAAATAACTTAATTTGCTTATCAATGACTAAATGAACTACAGTTGCTGAAAGAGAATTTCTAATATTATTTAGTTATATGTAGTATATATGTTTTTCCCTTAAAAACCATGCCATTCCCTGCTTTTTTTCCTTTAAATTGTCATACTAAAGATAAGAACAAGATAGTTTGCCTTTTTCAAAATTAGGTGCTTTCAACACCATGTGTTTTTCTCTTTGTCTTCTCCCCTCTAATAATCTTAATTAAACTGCTTAAGTAGCTCTAGTCTTTTTATTTTATTTTATGTGTTGGTGAATTCTTGGTGAAGGTTTTGTTTTGTTGTTGGATAAACCTTTGTTAGTTTAAGTAATTAGATACCTTGTTTTTACATTCACATTGAAGGAGATAAGCTAGCAAACCAAACAACCTTAAAAAGAAGAAAATCTGTTACTGTTTTAAAAAAACAAAATTTTTGTTAAATCTATCATTACAAATTATAATTTATTCACATGCCCATTTTTAGGATGTATATTGTTTATAATTTAATTTCAAATTAAGGCTTTTAGATCAGACCATTTAATTACAGAAAATATTTTCTTTTTAGTTTAAATCATTTATTTTAAAAAGTATTTTCAGCTTTAATAGAAATGGAATTTATCAAGTGTTTTTTATGCACTAGTATTAGAAATCTGATGCTGTTTATTAAAATATTAAGAGGATGCAAAAGAAAGGTTACAAACAATAGAAGGTGGGTATTTCCTGGGTGGGGATACAACAGAGGCATACAGTGCTTCAATATTTGAAACAAATTTAAATAAAAATGTTTTTCTTAGAAAAAAAATAGTGTGAAAACTTATCTGTTAAAAATATGAATGGTAAACAAAGAGAGAAATCTCTTCTGCCAACATGTATATGTTTTTATATACATTAGATCTTGATTATCCTTGACTAACATTCAATCACAAATTTACTATATTGTTTTATATTACCATCTCTGTATGGCACAATTATTCAGTCCTTGTATATTCAACCTGTTTTTTAAAAAATAATCACTGTTCTTTATTTCTTATACATGTTTTTAAAAGACATTAAGCATTTTGCTATTCAAAGCAGATTTTATTCTTTTAGTGTGAATAAACTGTTATCTAAGTCCATTATAGAACCTCTAGTACTTGAAAAAGATCCAACTCTGACCATAATTTTGCCTGTCCTATTAGACAAACAATTAAGGCAGCATTCTTATTTAAGTTTGTTATTTTAAAGGAGACTTAAAATGATTTATACCAACTATCCTTAAATAAAACAATAAATTTTAAAAAATAAAATGATTTATAGAGCCACAGAGATTTTTCTAACCCTTTTCTGCCTTTACATATGGGCTTCTGTTTATTTTCTTTGTGTATTATCTGACCATCTATAGCTTCCTTTAATCTCTTAATCCTTTTTCTTATTAAAAAATTAATGAATGTCTTTTTTCCTGCTGTACTCTCAGATCCTGAGAGTAGATCAGTGCCAGGAGGGTAGGAGTGAAGGGGTGGCAAGTTAATGAGCAGAGTGCTCTGATGGAGCACCTGCATTGGGTGACCAGTGGAAGCTCCCCAAGAAAATGGTATTTAAGCTGAGATCAATCTCCCTCTCTGACCATAATATGATCAAAGTTACTTATTTAAATAGCTTATTGTTCTCTTTCTGAATTAAAAAAATCAAATGAATTTTCAGAAGGATAAATCAGATATTTTATGTTCTCTCTTTAAATAATAAACTAAAGAATTACAATTTTTTAAACATATATGATTCTCAATAGCATCTTCTTATAGGATAAAGTCAATCTTATTTAATATAACCCCATGGAAATAGCCTACTTAATGTCAGAGATTAAAATATAATGATTTAATCAAGTGTAAGGTCTTCCACAAACATTTCCAATGGCCTTTGAATCTTGTGTTTGAGCAATGCTTTTCTAGCTGCAGTCATGAGTAACTGATTCACAAAATAACTAATGCCTGAATGGGACATGCCTTTTACACATGACATCACTGTGTTAACAGCATGTAAATCTTTGAAATGATTTGAAATGATTCCTTAATGAGCATTAAGCAGAGTCCTTTAAAACATTAAGAAATACAAGAATGCAACAGTTGTAGCTGCTGTTTTGCCTATAGATATAGGATGCACCTTATCAGAAGTTTAAAAGATACCTCCAATGTGTGTTAAAGTCATTACCATTAAATTCTAGTTCATGCAAGAAAATGTTTAAATAAATTACAGGGTAGTTTGCCATAAGATTTCAAATTGATGAAAAGGTTTTACAAGGCGATTAAGTATTTCTTTACCATCAACGGTCATTTTCCTGTACTTTTATGGAGATTGTTACATCATCAATACTATTTTGCAGGCCATTCCACAGAGGAAGAAATCAAACTATCTTTCCTGGAAACATTAAAAGAAGCCTGCAGCAAGTCTGATGAAGTCTCATATGGTGAATTTGAAGATTACTATGAAGGTCTAAGTATAGGAGTAGTAGATGATGAAGATTTTGTTACTATTTTACGTATTCCATGGGGGATTTAGTTTTTCGAAGTTAGTCCTAAGCATTTTAAAGGAGAGATGAATTCAATGTGAAGTATGATCAAACAATGCAATATAATTTTCTAAAGCTCTATTCTTTTTTCTTTCCTTTTTTTTTCTCAAAAGAATTGAGTCTAGAGAGAGAAATATTCAGAAAGACAGATATAGGGGTATGTGTATGTTCAGGTGCAAGTATGATTGTTCACTTGTCTCTAAGTTTAAAAAAGACCCTGCTTGAATATATTTCAGAGGTCTTTTTTTTATTAGACTTCAGAGGAAAGTAACATCTGTATCAAACTATATGAGATCATCTATGTAGTAACCAAGTTTCTTGTCCCATTTTTTCCCTATTCATTTCCCAAAATAAAATTGCTACTCTTTTCAATTTGATAAATGGGAATTGGACCCCAAACTTATGAGACTGAAATAGTTCAAACATATGAAAATGTTAAAGGAATGAAAGGATATGCAAGATAAATTTTCCATGCAGTGTGATTATGGATGTTTTCTGTAACATCAATATTTTGAATGATAGAGGCTTAGCCCTAAAATGCTTATTTAAACACAGACTTGTGAATTCTTGTCTTCCACATTGTGTGTTGTTGTTTTTCAATAGAACACAATGTAATTATTTAGTAACCAGTGCTATTCATCTTTTTATTTTATTTTTAACTACAGACCTTATAACCTGCACAGAATTATTATTTAGCTAGAAACAATACAAAATAGGAGATGGGATGTTTTCTTAGATTACTGAATAAACATCTCGGAAAGGGCATTGTCACATACATGGACTGAGGGATAATTTGATAATTCTTAACCAAAATGTAAAAAGATATTTTGTGTCCTAAGATGATTATAAATTATTCTAAACATCTTTTTGTTGTTGTTGTTGTTGTTATATAAACAACTGAAACAATTCCTTCTAAATAGATATCACTTAATGGTTAGAAGTGATGTAATCACTTTTTCTAAATTCTCCTATGTTCTTCACTTCTCCTTAGAAATACAAAGAGGGAAGTTTATAGAGTTGTTTCCAAGTTCATAATTTTACATTTTTATGTTAATATAAATTATTTAAAAAACAGTGTTGAATAAAATAAGTGGCTAAAAAATGAAAATATATTCTGTGTAGAATACAACTTTTTGGCATATAACTTTATTCATCTATACTCCTGGCAACATTTTAAAAAATGTGATGTGTGTGAACTAAATAAATTCAAAGTAGTATGTACCTTTTCAAGATTTGAGAAGGTACCAAAACTCACTGCTAAAATATCAGAAATACTATCTAATAAAAGGGTACTATGCAAATTAACCATCACTCCATCACAAAGATGGCGGTGCCCAGTCCTCTCAGCCTCCAGTGGAGTCGCCCAGTCCTGGGGGGGCGGCCGCTGAGAGTGGGCAGCATGAGGGGCCTGGCGGAATGCTTGCTTCATCGCTGTGGCAATGAGGCAAGCGTTCCACCCCGGTTGCAGAGGGCCTCTCGGCAGCAGGCACCGAGCGGCCAGCGATGGGGCTGTGGAGGGGGGGAACACTTGGGTTGTCACCTGGCGAGGAGGCAAACTTCCCGTGCCCGGCTGCGGATGGGCCTCTGGGCCTCTTGGCGCGGAGCAGCCAAGCCCCGCAGAGAGCTACTGATGCATGGATTCGTGCATCAGTACAGTGGGGCCTTGACTTACGAGTTTAATTAGTTCCGTGACGGAGCTCGTAACTCAAATTACTCGTATGTCAAATCAAAAAGTGAATGAGTGAGACACGTGATGCTGGGCTGATGTTGTGGCGTTCACTGTGATGTTCGCTGCGCCAACTAGCGGTGGGGTATCTGAAGCTGGCTTGTAACCCGAATTTTAGCTCGCAACTCAAAGCAAAAAATCAGCCGAGAGACGGCTCATATCTCAAAAAACTCGTTAGTCGGGACACTCGCAAGTCAAGGCCCCACTGTATATGTATAACTATTTTAGTGTTGTTTTCACTAGCAGAATTCTTTATTTCTTGGAGTTTTTTTTTTTTAATTAGGTTATTGTAATTAAATCAAAGTGTTGGAAGATGTTTTTAACACTGTTTGTGAGTCAGATTTTTTTACTTGGAAAAATTCATCCAACTATAGTCATCTTAAACCCTGTAAATTGCTCTGCTGTTAAAATGACTCATAATACTGTGGGTGCTCAGTATGCATGTAGTATTTTTCATTGATAAAATTATATTTAGTTCTCCTTAACAAATCTATTCTCAATTTTGTTATGCCACATTTCCCTGTGCATATAATCAGAAAATGTATAGGCTGTTATATTATTTTAAAAAAGGAGGAGAACCTTTTTGGGGATTTAGCATATTAATATGACAGCATACTTTAAAAAAAGCCTCCACCCTATAGTATAAACATTCATATGTGATTATCTGTGGGAAGTTTATTTAAATGATATAACATTTTTGTAGTTAATTTCTTATTTTACACAGTTATTCTCATGTAGAGTTAGAAAATACATATTCAGTGTTGTTTGTTTTATTTCATTAAAATACAATTGGTGGCACAATAAATCATTCTGCTTTGCCTCAATGTCTGCATTCTTCTTTGACTTTTGCACAATAAAATCTATTATTTAATGTTCAATTCAATAGAAGAGCATCTAATAGGAATTACATTTTTCAAACATAGTAATTGACTTTTGAAATTCTAGTCTTAATCTTCAAGATTTTAAATATCTCTTGATTAACTTTAAAATATTAAGTTAAATGTTGTAATGATGGTACACAAAGTTTATAGTTCATTTTATCATTCTCTAGCTCTTTAAAGGGTAGTTACTTGTTCTAGTATAGAATTGCTTTCCCAGTTAACAATACTATTTATTGAATTCAATATATTGATTTACTTTACTCTTTCTATTCTTATAAATAAAGTTTTACAGAAATTTCAGGAAAATTTCACATTGTATCAGAAAACTAGAGCTATACTTTAAGAATATTTAGCTATATTTAATTAGGAAAAATATACATGTGCATGATGGAGCGATTACAGTATAGACAAAAGTGTATGTAACTGTTTTCTTCTTTTTAAAAAATCTTTATTGATGAGAGTATTAGAGATGTCCCCCTTTTTCTATTCCTGTTTTAAATTTTATATTATATAAATATATATTGATTAATGAAGTGATTGGACAGGAAGAGTTACCTAGAATAATTCATAATTTTGATATAGATATAAAACACATTTTATTAATTAGTTTGGATTTACAGTCAGTTTAAGTTGTCAGTTACTAATAGAGAAAATTCACAAATTTTGCCTACTGCAGATTAACATGCCTTTGTGGGATTATAGTTTATGTGCTATGAAAAACTATAATCACTATTGGTTGACCAGCGAGGGCAAACATCTACAGTGAATATGCTTAAAGAAGTAGAAGGCACTGAGCCTACTCAAGCCAAGCAAGAGAAAAGAGAATCCTGTGGGTTGACAGGATGTATTGGTATCTACACAAATAAAAGAGAAACATGCTAACTAGTGTACGACCGCTACCCTTCCCATTGGCTAATCAGCATATCCTTATGCAAATTAACTGTCAGCCAAGATGGCGGCCGGCAGCCCTGCACTGAAGCAAACAGGGAGGCTTGCTTGCTCCAGTGACTGCGGACTCCAACGTTCCCCGCCTAACTTGCCGGCCTCTCAGCTGCAACTCTAAGCAACTATGTTGCAAATATAGAAGCTAAACAAAACCCTAGAAACCTGCTTTCAGTCAGCCGGGCTTCAGCCAGCCTGATCGCAACATTGTATCAATGTTTTCAGCAGCGAGGCCTCAGAGCTAAAGCTGGCCCAGAATAAAAAAAAAGAAAAGAAAAAAAGGAGCGGTTGGGAGCTTCAGTCACCCGCCAGCCAGAAAACGGCCCTCAGCCCCTCACCCAGACTGGCCAGGCACCCCAGTGGGAACCCCCACCCTAATCCAGGACACCCTTCAGGGAAAACCAGCTGGCCCCCACCCGTGCACCAGGCCTCTATCCTATATAGTAAAGGGGTAATATGCCTCCCAGCACTGGGATCAGCGGAGCAGCGAGGCTCCCGGCACCGGGATCAGTGTGACAGGGGGCAGCGCCCAAACCCCCTGATCGCCCTGCGGGCTCTGTGTGTGACAGGGGGCAGGACCACAACCTCCCTATCCGCCCTGCTCTGTTCATGACAGGGGGAAGGCGCCCCAAACCCCTGATCAGCCCTGCTCTGTGCCTGATAGGGGGGAGCTCCCCAATCCCCTGATCGCCCTGCGGCTTTGTGTGACAGGGTGCGGCGCCCCAACCCCTCCGCCCCCCACGGGCCCTGCTCTGTGTGTGACAGGGTAGGGCCATAACCTCCCCATTGGCCCTGCCCTGAGTGTGACAGGGTGCAGCGCCCCAACCTCCTGATCCACCCTGCTCTGTGTGTGACAGGGGGCGGTGCCCCAACTCCCCTATCGGCCCTACTCTGTGAGTGACAGGGGGGAGCTCCTCAACCCCCTGATCGGCCCTGCTCTGTGCATGACAGGAGGGAGCTCCCCAACCCCCTGATGGGCCATGCTCTGTTCATGACAGGGGGGAGCTCCCCAACCCCCTGATCGACCCTGCTCTGTGTTTGACAGGGTACGGAGCCCCAACCCCCCTGATGGGCCCTGCTCTGTGAGTGACAGGGGGCAGAGCCCCAACCCCCCTGATGGGCCCTGCTCTGTGAGTGACAGGGGGCAGCACCCCAACCCCCTGATTGGCCCTGCTCTGTGCGTGACAGGGTGCAGCGCCCCAACCCCCTGATCGGTCCTGCTCTGTGAGTGACAGGGGGCAGCGCCCCAACCCCCTGATTGGCCCTGCTCTGTGCGTGACAGGGGGTGGCGCCGCAACCTCCCATCGACCCTGCCTTGAGTGTGATAGGGGGCGGTGCCCCAACCCCCCAATTGGCCCTACCCTGAGCGTGACTGAGGGTGGCATCGCAACCTCTGTATCCGCCCTGCTCTGTGCATGACAGGGGGCGGCGCCCCAACTCC